CATCGTTATATTTATAATCTATAACTAATATAGTATACATGCCATTCATACACATGCTATATATATCATTGTTAATATTTTAATATTTATTTAAGAATTTAATAATATAAAGATAAAAAAAACATGTCGATAATTCTTAATTTGAAGAATAAGCAATTTAAAATATCAAAGTATAAAAACAATGAAACGTTCTCCCCCATTTAATTTTTATATTATTTTACAATAATTGTCAACCCATGAAATGGTGACGCAATATTAAATTAAATTAAATGGTTTTTATCATTTTTTAAACAATAATGAATTTTAAACCAATCATTTAACAACATTAAAGTTTGAGCTAATGTTATGTATGTATATTACAAAAGAACAATGGTTAATGTGATCAAATGATCAATCATATTATAACTGATATTAATTTTTAATTCCTCACTAAAACGAACAACAGTCTCTCTCATATATCTGGACAACAATAATAAATCGTAAAATATTTACCCTGTAATCAAAATAATAATAAAGTAAACCATCCATTATAGACAACAGGCCTTAATTTCAAAAATATTAAAATATTTTCTCGTTTAAGATCTCCCTAGGATTAGCATAAAAAATAAAAACTTTATTTATCATGGCAATCAAAGAAATGTGAAACAGTTCCATCTTCAGTCATTTTTAATTTTATTTTGGCGTCAATTCTCAATAAAGAATTTAGAATCACTTGATTTTAATAAAAAAAAAAAGGCGGATTTTTTTTTTTTAATATTCTTAAATAATATCTAAAGAAAATATTAGATTTTTGTTTTTGTTTCAAGTTGTTGCAGTTTACCTTTATGTAACAAAGAAAAAAAATTTTTTTTTTTGAAAGATGCAGAAAATGCGCATCATGCGCATGAATATTACGCAATTTCCCTTATCTAATTGTAGCATACAGGAATAAAAATTTAAAATTTAACTCCACGATTTGAGGCGTTGACTTGGAAGGATAAAAACTAAATGAGAATTTTAATAACACATAATGAATCAACAACCTCCTATTAAAATGAAGGTAAAAGTATGAGGTTTGGATGGAGACCATCAGATGAAGAACTGTTTAAAAAAAAAGGAAAAAAAAAGCCTTTCATGTTAGTAGTTTTTTAATAGAAACAATTGGATCTTTACAATTCAAAAAACCAATTTCCTGGCTTACCTGAACATATTAAATATTTTGCGTCAGGGAGATGCGAACCATTGATTAATATAAATCGAGAAATGATCGACATATTTTTCAGTTGCCTTTGCATGAAAAGTTGCACTATCATTTTTTTTTTTCTTTTCTTGTATCGAAAAAATTTTTTTATATTAATATACCATGGTGGATGTAGTGATTTCTGTTTCCGCAGTAATTTCTCATAGATGGATCATCAATTAAAACAAAAGAAAAGTAATTCCGGTTTTGAAGTAACATGCCCAGGTTGTATATCATCATCTACCTCTGTTTGACAATGCAACCACTCATGCTGCATTTGCAGGTGATGCTTTAGTGCATCCAAAGTAGGCTAGTACGATGGTGGAAACGAGAAACGCCATGATGACTATGACAATGTTAATCTAAGAGGGAAACAGGAAGGAATGAAGACAATATTGGCATATTCAGAAGAACGTAAACTAAAAAGCAAGGAAATAAAATAGAAGGTTACAACCAGATTTTTTCAAGCATAAAAGGTAATATTTTATTTTGGGCCCATTGTTTAACCCGAGTTCTAATGCACTTACTTTTATAAACTTTTGCTTACCTAGAGATATTGCCACTATTTCATCTGCTTTAATCTGTTTTTTGTCATTACACAAATGTCTACAATACCATTAATATGGACTTTACATCATTGGCTAAATCAGAGCTTCTTCAACAGCATTTTTCCAGTCATCATCAAAATTGAGATATTCAAGATCACCATCTGTTGATTCATTATTATTCTGTAACTCTAGATTTTCAGTTCGACTTCCATTGGGAATTTGAATATGAAAAATCAGCAATTTTAGAAAATCAAACTATTGCCATGTCTTTATTATGTTCTTTTTGAATCCTTCATATAAAAATACCTGCTTTTTACTGAAATAATAATTTCTTGGAAAATTTTCCCGCCATTCATGCACAAGAGCAACGTTATCGTCTATACACACATTCGAGTCATCCCATG